GTTTCTTTATTAACAAATTTTTTTACAGGGGGCACACCTGGTGATGTTTAGGGCTTACTCTTAATTCTGTTTTTTATTTTTTTTTGTTTTGGGGCAAACCCTGCGGTGCTCAGGGGTTACTCCTGGCTCTGAGCTCAAGAATATCTCTTGGTAATGTTCAGGGAGTGCCCTGGATAGTACAGTGGGATGAGTTTAAGACAAGCGCTTGTCCTACCTCTTCAGCCCTACTATTAATCAATTGCTTAGATATTCTTGTGACTCCAGGAGTTTTTCCTTTGCATTAGATTTATTAATTTTCATAATTTTAGAGATGTATTTGTTATATTTTTGTACATAAAGTTTTCATAATTTTTCAGTTTTCCCGCATAATTTTTGCTATATGCATATTTATATTCATAAAAATATTTATGAGCATTTTCAACCTCTTTCTTATTTAATCTTGCTGTAGCTTTGGAATCCTTTCCAAAAAGTGTAGGGACTTGAATCTTCTCTATTAATATTTGAGTTCTGTTTGTTTGCTTGTTTGAGTAGCAAACCCAGCAGTACTCAGGGTTTATCCCTGGCTCTGTGCTCAGGGATTACACTGGCAGGCTCAGGGCACCATTCAGGAGACTAGAGACCAACACTCCACATCAGTTGCATGCAAAGCCAAGTGCTTTGACATTGTAAAATGTCCCTGACCCCCAATATTTGTTTTTTATTTCATCAATTATGACATATAAACTAACATGTATTTTTCATTTATTATCTCGCCCGCACGGCAAAGCCTGGCAAGATCCCCGTGGCGTATTCGATATGCCAAACACGTAACAAGTCTCACGATGGAGACATTACTGGAGATATTTGCTCGAGCAAATCGATGAACAACGGGAGGACCGTGACCGTGACCATGCCTTTTAGGACAGCCATCCTAATATCTATGCAATACAAAACATCTTACAAAAACAAATAAATGTAATTAAATGAAATCAATCTCTGTTGCTTTAGTTAGAAAGATTTTATTAGTTCGTGATGGAGGTTACATATCTCAACACATGTGAAAACAGAAATTCACAAGAATACTGAATATTTAAACTTTCTTTAGCTTGCAAATTACATAATTATTACTTCTTATGTCTTTAGGAGGTAATTCCTATCAACATAAGCAGCCTTCTATTACATGAGTTTTGTTGACAAATATAGCATAAAGTCAACTCAGGTTGAAATTATTTAGTAAATTTTCCCCGTGGAGTTGCTTAAATGAATGCTTCCTCATCTAGCACTTGTTTGATCAACTATAAAAATTCATCTTTGTTCTTATAATTAATAGCAATATATATAATGAATTTAACAATAGAATAAATCATGTATGTAGATATTGAAATATTTGGGCATTTATCATTTGGAAATACTAGATTTACTACAACTTAATTAATTTAAGTAGGAAAATAAGAAGCTATGACAATATTAGGTAAGTTTAACATATGTTTATGTTTGAACTGGAATCCTCATAGACGGACTAATTTTGCTTTTCAGAGACTGCCATAAATACATGTAATAATGGATTATTGACGATTTTTTATGTTTTAGTAAATAATTTTCTCACTTAAACCTAATAAATAATTTTATTTTTGTTTAAGCAGTCATTCTTTCTGGTATTTCTCTAGTGCAAAACCACACTTGATGACATTTAACTAATGGCAAAAAAATAAATCAGTTGAAATTCCATTTATTTTTATTAATATTCCATTCCTCACATATACAACAGCCTTCCTTATTAATATACTTAATCCAACACCTTAATTGGAGAAACTTAAGAATGGGAAGAGTGTTTAACTACTACATCTGAAAATTTTGAAGTAAAGGGTCTGAGCAATAGTACAGTAGGTAGGGTGCTTGTCTTATTGGCTGACCTGGGTTCAATCCCCAGCACCCCAGAGAGTCCCCTAAGTATTTCCAGGAGTAATCCCTGAGTACAGAACCAGTAATAAGCCCTGAGCACAGGTGTGCCCCCAAACAGAAATAAAACAAATCATAAATTCTGAGCAAAGTAGACACAAACCTAAATTACTAATGATAAGAGGGTGGGTTATGCTTAAGAATGGACTGAAATTAATTTTCAAATTTCATATAAGTTGGAACTGAAGATAATTTCTAAGCAGTTTTATCAAAACTTCTTTTCTTTGTTTCATTTAGTATGTGACATTAGTCACAATATATTTGCTGAGCTATTATAAGGTAACAAAAACTACTCTGTCCTGTTAAAGTCACACATCAATCTTTTATTTTTCTAAACCCATAAATTTAATTTTGGACCTGAGAGACAGAATTGAAAGTTAAGCAAGGACAACAAAGAAGTACCAGAGAATGCTTTCAGGAGCCAGAAGCTATTTTGTTAGCAACCCTGCATAATGTGCATCTTATAATAAGCTACAGGTATTCGTGTCATCTCCATGAGACAGTTTAAAAGCTTATCTCAGAAACATAAAGCATAGTGTTGTAGAAAATAATCGCTTCTTAAAAGTAAATAACAAACAATTTAATAATTCTCAGGGACAGAATATCAGGCTTTCATAAATAATACAGGAATTGAGGATGATCCAAGCTGACTCTCAGGGAACATTTTGCAACAGAATTGCTTTTGGAAGTTGCACTACTTCAGACCACAGGGGAAACTTTAAGAAATGACTATCTCAAGGCTCTCATAGCACTTCCGTTCACCAAAGTAGTAAATTATTCCATCCTGAGATACCCAAACAGCTTCTGAAGAGTTGGAGCCTGTAGCTTACCAGCAGGACTCAGTTCTCTACCACTTTCCAATCCTGCCTGGCGTCCTCCTTAAACAAATACTCTAAGACCAAGCATCAATGCTTGCAAGCATTTTAAAAATGAAACACTGCCAAGTGTAGCACTGTGGGCGCCTGACTTAATTTTCTTTGACTATCTAGAATGAAGCATAATTTTTCATACTTAATTGTGCCAAAGATTCACTCACATATTAAAAATATATATATATATATTGTAATTGAGATCATGGGAAAAAATAGATGGCTAGTATAATAACATAATTTTTTTTACTTTATTTAATATACACAATCACATGTTAAAGTACTTCTGCATGAATCCATGCTCCAAAAAAGTAATTGCAGCCAACTAAAATATTTTTTAAGGTAAAAATGCATTGTTTTACAAAACTGGTTGCGTTACTATCTTCAACTTTTATTACAATCAGGCAAAACTGTGCTAGCAATGTACATCTTTTTTTTTTGGACTACACGTGGTAATGCTCAGGGCTTACTTTTGGCTCCGTGTTTAATTACTCCCAGTGGTGCTTGGGGGGACCATCTAGGGTGACAAGGATCAAACCTGGGTTGGCTGTATGCAAGGCAAATTCTCTCTCCCCTGTACTATCTGTTCGGCCCCCACAATGTGTGTCCTTTTGAAGAGCATTTTATTATTTGTGCATAAAGAATAATGATATGTGATATCGTCATTATTATGTAGAATATTCACAATGCATATCCCTTTTACTAGAAGTATCCTTATAAGCAAGTGATTTAGAAAATGTTTTAAAATTGGTAGATAAATATTTAGGAAAAGCTAATTGCATCTTTTAAATATTTTTTGACTTAGAAATTGACACTGAAAAATCACAGATGAGAGATCACATAACAGCCTCCTGGTCATAGATGTAAATGAAATTCACTATCCAGATACCAGAAGCACTGGTATCGTGATACATTATTTCTATCAGATTTTGGCAATGGCTCTGATTCAAACAGCAATTACTGGTAAAGAATTTAGTCTCAACTATTTAGAAAAATGGCTTTACTAAATTTACAAACAAGGCCCTACAATTTTCTATTTCCTTAGCAAGATATTAAATCAACCAAACTAAGCATGTCATCATGACTATAATTTATGTGATGTGACATGACAGTTAAGATGTACTGTGGTAATTTGTGAGCGCTTGCAGTATTATTGTAGTATAAAAAATTTATATGGTTCAATTATTAAGGCAAATTGTTTCATTCATACTGAAATATCTGACAGTAAACCACTAAGGGCTTCCTCATTGCATTTAAAAATGTCTTCCATATTCAAGCAATTTGCACACCCTGTTACCATTATTTTGCTCACTGAGTGGAAACTGAAGCACAGGCATGCATAGCATTTGGATGTGAAAATGATCTGTGGGGATTATGAAATGATTCAGTGTGGGTGGCTATAAGAAACAGTTCATTCAGGATAAGGGAAGTTATCTTTAGGAACTAACAATTACAAACAGGATGTCCAAATTCTTTGCTCTGGTGCTTTTTCATAGCCCACTTGCTTATTTTCCTTCTGTCAGTTTTGTCTTCAGCATTAGAAGAAAGAAAGCATATGACTGAAGATAAATGATAGGAAATATGGTAAGAAATTCTTTTATAAGATCTCCATAAACAAGTGACAATGAGACAACAAAGAAGACCTTTGAAAATCTTCCAACTTCTGACCTAAAACTCTTTGCACATCCCCTGAGCATCACAGAGTGCAGCCATAGAGATCTCTGGGTACTCCTGGGTGTGGGCCTGGATCCCCTGCACTGTAGCTCAGGAATCTCCACCACCTCAGGACCAGAAGCAACAACATATCCTTGGGTTCCTGCATTAAACCGATCAACCATTTGGCCAATAATCACCAGCAGAGCCCCAGACCTCGTGAGAACCTTTTGGGAGTTACCTCCATCTCTTCAATAAAGTAAATAAAATAAAATAAATAAGGTAAACTAACATGATCTTTTTGTTTTCACTTAGGCCAGTTCACAGCTATGACCTACTAAGATTTTTCTCTTTCAATTCTCAATTCTCAAGTGTCGCACAAGACATATATTTATATTTGCACATATGCAACTAATATATACAAATAAATATTTGTGTACATATATACATGTATCAGAGTTTATCTTTTATAAAAGACTGAATAAAACATTCTCTCCATTGAGTAATAAACAGAAAGGAGCAGGTACTTTATGGACTTACTTTGTTTCCTAAGTACGGAGCCGGCGCACTCCAGAAGTAGTTCTCTGGCAGGGCTCTCTGGGCCTCACTACTACTGATGCTGATGTGAGGTGGAATGACATCATCCTGCTCGGGAGTCACTTTAATGTGTCCTGTGAGGTCAGTCAGGTACCAGCCACTCATGTCTTGTATCTTTAGGAAGAGATAGAATGACCACTATTTAGGGGGAAAGTCATCTGCTTCTTTCATATTACTAGTTGTATCTCCTTTTTATTGAAATTAAAGTGAAAACAAAAACAATTAATATATATTATAAGCAGCATTAAATTTATATGCATTCATTATAGACACCCCCTCCCCCCCCCCCCTTTTCAGTGTCTCTAGGAGTTTGCCTGGTACAACTGAATGACCTGCTTATATGGACCCAATGATTTTGTTAAAATTTCTGATTCAAAAAACTGATATGTTTTTCTTAAAAGCATATAGTTCTTCGAAATAAGGCGTATGGGGCTGGAGAGATAGGATAAGACACTTGCTTTGTTTGTGGTGGGCTCAGTTTTGACCCTCAGCACCATATACAGACCCTTACCCCACCACTCAGTGTGATCATTGAGCACATATTAAAAATATTAAATTTAGCACAGCTAGGTGTGGCCCCAAAACCAAAATAAAAACAAAAATCAAAATCAGTTATAATTAATTAAAATATTACAAAAATCAAATAGCTATTTTAAATTTCATGTTTTTCATGCTACAGGTAATCTCTTCTGCCATGGAGTAAACTATTACTAAAGGTTCCTAAAACAGAGAAAGAAAAGAAAGACAACATACAAGTGCCTGAAAGGTAACATTTTCTTCAGTATTTTGTACCTTCCCTCTCAATTTAAATTTCAACTTTAACTCAAGGACATCAAAAACCATCAGATTTTTGGTCCGATCACAATTCAGAATATAGCACTTGCTTCTTTGTAAAAGATCAAAAGTGCTTTGGGGATTCATACTTTATATCATTGGCCCAGAAAGGAATTAAAAAATTCAGAATGATTTGCTATTCTACTTTAGTATTCCGATCAGAGAAGGCAGACAGTTATAAATCAAAATTTAAAAAGTCAGAAAAAAACACTGGATATTGAAGTTTTCTACTACTAGGGACCTAATAGAATATATATCTATGTCATATTGTGTGTATGTGTGTGTGTGTGTGTGTGTATCTTGGTTCTATGATGGGTAGCAGAATTGTAACTGTGACAAAATATGGGTGAAACACATTTTTCTTTTTATGGCAATAATTTGACATTGCATCTCCAGGGCCTGTGGAATCACTGTGACAAAGCCCAATTCAAAAATGGTAGGGATCTTGGCATCTACCTTCAAAACATAAAAACCTAATTTTGAAAGGGTACATGCACACCTATGTTCACTGCAGTGATAAGAACAATAGCCTGAATATGGAATCAATCCAAATGTCCCATGGCAGATAAATAAATCATGAATTTGTGGTATATGCACAATGGAATACCATGCAGCTACAAGAAAATATGAAATAATGAAGTTTTCTATAATGTGAATTAAATTAGATGTTATTGTGTTATGCAAAAATAAGTCAGAAGAAGGACAGATACCAAATCATCTTTTTTGTCTTTGGATTATAGAGACAAAACAAGGGACTAGACAGTATGTAACAATAAAATCTTTTTTGTCTTTAGATTATAGAGACAAAACAAGGGAAAAGACAGTACAGAACAATGATAACTCTTGACTTTGAATTAAATAACCCATCAACACACAGTGAGAGGAGTAGTGGGGGACATGAGCATTCAGTGCCTGTAATTAAATTTTTAAAATTTATTTGGGGGGAGAACCTAGTGGTGCTCAGGTGTTTCTCCTGACTGCACTGAGGAATCGTGATGCCAGAGATCAAATCTGGGTTGACTGTGTACAAGACAGGCATCTTACCCATTTTACTATCTTTCCAGACCCTTAAATTTAAAAAAACCTTGAAAATACAAAGATATTGACGACATCTCAAAGTTCTCCTAAAATTCTTTAGTAACTCATCAAAGATTAGAACCCAGAGGAGTGGGTACAGGACTTTGGTGGTGGAATGCATCATCCTGCATACATGTGTCTTTGGATTAGATCTCCCTTGATATGGAAACTATTAAGGCAAATCTACTTATTTTAAGAGGGTCCAATTTAGACCTTGTTACAAATGAAATATGAAAGGCTTTGATCAAAGACATGTACACCATGTTTGAAAGAAATTCCCATTACTTTGTCATGATAATTTTAAGTAGAAGTTCATTTTAAGTAAGTTTATTATAAAACAGCACTAGCAATAAAGCAACAGAGAAACATACAGACATAAAAGGTATCGCTTACATTGTCATAAGTCCAGTAGGAACTCTGACATTGCTTTGAAACTCCTGAACAGAAACACTCATCACAACCTTTAGGATTATCTTCTTGCAAGTTAAAGAAGCCAGATTTGCAGCGACTACAGTCTCCTCCTTCAACATTTTCCTATAAAGAGAAGTATGTTAGCAACAGAGCTGCTCTTCAGATTAAGAACTGTCTCTTTCTATTGCAATAAATTCATCAAACTATCTTGATTTTCACCAATAAAGCATATTTAAATAAAAATAATGTTCAAAATTTTCTCAAAACTCCTTTATAAGTTAAATCTTTTGTAACTAGACAAAGAAAAATATTAGGTAGCAACCAACTATTTCAAAAGCTATAACTTTGAATTTCATATTTGTTGAGAGTAGGATATATATATTACATAACACTCAGCAGTAATTTGAAGAAAATGGGGTCAATTTAGTTCACTGTTCTCTGCTGAATTACTTAATCTTAAAACATATAACATATTGACAAATTAAAGTAATCAAACTAATATATGGATATAATAAAACACTGATAAATAGAACATATAAAAACACTTGATACATATAGATTTAAAATACACTTAAGGAAAGTATTAGAAACTGACAGTTTGCAAATATGTCATAGTATTTTCATGATTACACTAAAGAAAAAAGAAGGAAAATGTTCCCTGATTAATTTTGAAAGTGTTTCCTGTACCACAGAGACATGGAAAGTTAACTATTCAGTGACATTATGGGGAAAAAACATAATTTTATTCAGTTATTGATGTCCAAACTGATAAATTTGATGCCCAAACTGATTATTATTGCCCTAGTTCATTAAAAAGTTATTTGTCTATATGTGGGTTTACCCTCTGGACACTGGCGAGAGAAAGTTAACTAAATTAGAAAAATTGGAAGGGGTGTAATTCTTCAATTTAAATAATGGTTAATTGTGGTTAATATCTTCTGAATGAGGACTCTGCTTTCAGGAAACAGATTCTCATTATTCCTGACACCTGGTTTTCTCCACATATTACCTCTTTGTTATAATATCTTATTACTTCAATTACAAAGCTTTCATTTTACTTATGGAATTATCCTTTTTAAACTACTCCCCTATAGAATTTCAGAAAGTTCTGCATTACACTACATTTTAAAAAGCATAGCAATGTCTTCTACAATTTTGTCTTCAAGTATATAACACAATCTAATCAGAGGTAGAAACTGTGCCTTACTCATCTTAATAGTATCAGAAAATTGCAGAATTCCTGGTACAACATGGAGCATAGTTTAATAAAAAAGCTTATTAAATTTAAAGAAGTCTTGTTATGGCTGTTTTTCATGCACAGAAAAATGATATGCACATAGTAGATGATCATAAAACATTATGTTATTCAATATTGGATATTAGTTATGGAAAATAAAATTGAAGGAAAAACAGAAGATTGGAAGAGCAACAGAGAAATAGAGAAATTTATAAGAATACACACGTAAGGGATGGAAAGATAGAATAACTAGCAAAACTTCTGCCTTGCATGTGGCAGAATGATATTAGTCTCTGGCACCACATATCCTGCCAGGAGTGTTCTCTGAGTACAGTGCTAGGAGTAAGTCTTGAGTACTGTTGAGTGTGACCCAAGAACAAAGTAAATAAATAAATATAATGGCTATATATATATAAAGATTCTTCATGTATCCAAGAGATAAATATATTGCGGTTAATGTTTTGCCTCTCAAATTTCATTTACAAACTCAATCACTTCTACAGAGGTAGAAGTCTAAACAAAGGGGTTTCTCAAATTCCATTTATGTCAAAAGTTAGCAACTTGATAAATGTATCAGTTGAACTGTCTGATACTATAAGTTTTAGAGGTATATTTTAAATAATTTTAGATTACAGGTATCAATAAAAGTAATCACATTTTAGATTGATTACGATAGCACAGCGGTAGGGCATTTGCCTTGCGTGCAGCCGGCCTCGGCCGAGCTGGGTTTGATTCCTCCCCTCTCGGAGAGCCCAGCAAGCAACTCAGAGTATCTTGCCTGCACAGTAAAGCCTGGAAAGCTACCCGTCACGTATTCAATGTCCCAAACACAGTAACAATAAGTTTCACGATGGAGATGTTACTGGGCCCGCTTGAGCAAATCAATGAACAACGGGAGGATGGTGACGAAATCAAAAATCAATTAAATTAGTTTTAGGGCTAAGGTGACAAGTAAATTCCCAAATCCTGAAGTTGAGAGTATCTTAAGAATAGTACATATGCAGAAAAGATAAAGCACATCTATAATTATAATTTAGCTTATCCCATTGAGGACACAGTAAGCTGTTCTGTACACTGTGTGATCTAATCTACTTTCCATTTATTCTGATTTGAGAGTTGTATTATTACTTTTTTCTGCTTTAGATGGAGTTCTGAAATTTTCAGACATTAGTTGCATTTTCCTTAGTTCTATTTTAGTCTGACAATATGCCCTTGAAGTGAGTATGATTAAATAAATGCAATGTTCATTTTAAACTAATATCCTGAAGCAGCACACTAAGGTAGGAAATCTAGGGATTAAACATTAGGAATGACCGCATCAAACAATGACAAACCTTTGGCCTTCTGTTTCAAATTTATTAATAAACAGTGAGGGGAAGGAGGAGAGGAAGAAAGATTTGACCAGAGGTTATAGTAATGGAGGTGAGGGTCATGGGCAATTTGGCCATAGCGGAGGTCAGGAACTGTTACATCAATACCATGAACCTTAACACTTCTGTAACCATATTATCTAAAATACAGTAAACTTTTAAAAAAATTTTTTTACAGTAGTCTTTTATAAGGATTTTTAAGAATACCGGGGGCTTGAGCGATAGCACAGCAGATAAAGCGTTTGCCTTGCATGTGGCTGACATGGTCAACCCAGGTTTGATTCTTCCGCCCCTCTCAGAGAGCCCGGCAAGCTACCGAGAGTGTCTCGCCTGCATGGCAAAGCTTGGCAAGCTACTCATGGCATATTTAATATGCCAAAAACATTAACAACAAGTCTCATAATTTATTGTGAGATGTTACTGGCACCCACTAGAGCAAATTGATGAACAACAGGAGGACAGTGCTACAGTGCTTTTAAGAATACTAAAAATTGGTGAATTGTGTCTCTTCAAAAGTCAATACCTAGTTGGGTAAGAACGACATTCATTCATAGTCATGAAGCAGAGTTAAATATGATTCATGCAGCTCAGAAAAATAAACAAATAAATAATTGCATACAGAAGAAGAAGAGCAATTTCTGCTGTGAAAACTTAAGAAGCTTCCGAAAAGAGTGGAATTTGGGTGCATTCCCCCTCCGCCCCATCCCTCTGCCCTGCCAACACACACACACACACACACACACACACACACACGCACGCACACACGCGCACACACACACACACACACACACACACACTTTTGCAAACATGCACACCCTGAGAAGTGCTTCAAATTGAAAGTAATGGATGCTAGTCTTCCATTTTGTTACTTTATATTCCATAGATGCGTGCAGTCTTTCTATATCTGTCTCTCTTTTTGACTCATGACTTGGAAGCTGGCCTCACATGCTGGAGGAAAAGGTAGCTCAGATAGAGAAGGTAACACCAACTAAAGTGTGGTTGGATGATCTGCTTTGGATGGGAGATGCGTGCTGAATGTAGACTATAGATCAAACACAATGGCCATTCAATACCTCTATTGCAACCACAACACCCAAAAGGAGAGAACAAAAAAGAATGCCCTGCCACAGAGGCAGAGTGGGTGGGAGAGATGGGGGATGGAAGGGATACTGGGATCATCGTTGGTGGAGAATGGGCACTGGTGGCGGGATGGGTACTCGAGCATTGTATGACTGAAACACTGTAGCACTGTAGCAGTGTAGCACTGTCCTTCTGTTGTTCATCAATTTGCTCCAGTGGGCACCAGTAACACAAGCATGAAAATTTATAAGTCTGTAACTGTACCTCACGGTGATTCACTAATAAAAAATTGAAGAAAAAAATTTTCCTGTCCACAATCCCTATCATAATGTATTATGTAAACTAACCACTTAATAAATGTTTGAACAAAAAAAGAAAAAAGGAAAGAAAGTAATGGATGCCATTTACTGGGTATAAAGTCAGACACAGGAATATCCTTTATGTAAGTGACTGATTGGAGGTGGGGGGAATTGACCTCAAACTTTGTTGATCCTCCCTGATTGACAATACTTGCATTGGAATGCATTGGAATGGTTGGAATGCACTGGCAAACATTAAGGACTATCAGTGTGAGTCTACTGGAATAGGTTAAGTAGAAATGTGCACTTTGTCTTTCTCTTGGGATCATAACTAAGCATTTTGGTTTTGTTGGCTTTAATCTGTATTCTTTCACTGAAATAAATCACAACCATGTGTCTAATAGCCTCCTGAGTTCTAAGTCCTTCTAGCAAATCATTGAAAATGAGGATGGTTTTAAGTCTACCCCCCCCAGTATAACATAGTAATGATAATAATGCATCTACAACTACAAAAATAAGTTATTCGGGTGGCAGATTTTTTGTGTGTATTATGACTAATCTTTGAGCCTCTTTTTTATAGGTTCTCTTGATAATCCTGTTCCGCCACCCTATGCCCAATTCATATCTGATTCACAAAAGTGATCAACTGATAATATTTGTATAGAACTTATTAAAATTTTTACATCATGTCTCAAATTTAAGAAAATATCATTAAATATAATATTACAAGTTTGAGATTTTATATTCCTATTCTTTTAACTGTCCACAACACACTTTCTTTAGAGATTCATAGGACTTAATGAGATAGACCAATCTCCATTCAATTGAAAAGTGCTAGGTTCTGATTTTTCTCAGACTCTACTACAGGTAAATATTCACTGTATCACTGTCACTGTATCACTGTCATCCTGTTGGTCTTCGAATTACTCAAGCAGGCTCCAGTAAAATCTCTATTCCTCCCAGGATTGAGATTTTGGGAGCTTCTTTTTACCTTTGATTGGAGGCTTTTCCCAATGATTGGAGGCTCTTACAAGGTCAGGGGAATGAGACCTATTATTTACTGTATTTGGCATATCAAATATACCATGGGGAGCTTGTCAGGCTCTGCCTGTGTGGGCGGGATACTCTTGGTAGCTT